ACACCACTCATCATACACCACTCATCATACACCACTCATCATACACCGCTCATACACCAGCTCTGGTTTCAACAGCTCAAGCTCCAGGCAACTCCAGCTCCAGGTGCAGATTGCGTGGCAGGCGCAGCACTTGGGAACCTCCATGTGCAGATTTCGTGGCAGGCGCAGCACTTTGTGAACCTCCCTGTGCAGATTTCGTGGCAGGCACAGCACTTTGTGCACCTCCATGTGCAGATGTCGTGGCAGGCGCAATACAAAATGCGTTGTGGAGAGATAGCGAACGCACGAAATGCTGTATTTTTCAATGGAACCGGTGGCTCCGAAGCTGGCAAGTCAAGGTCTGCGGAACGACGGGTGCGAGACGGTCTCGGATCATTCTCGGATCATGCTCGGAATCGTCCGTCCATTGGGATTAGAGTTTTCACTTGTTTCTTGAAGTGCAGATTTCGTGGCAGGTGCAGCACTTTGTGAACCTCCATGTGCAGATTTCGTGGCAGGTGCAGCACTTTGTGTACCTCCATGTGCAGATTTCCTGGCAGGCACAGCACTTTGTGAACCTCCATGTGCAGATTTCGTGGCAGGTGCAGCACTTTGTCCACCTCCATGTGCAGATTTCCTGGCAGGCACAGCACTTTGGGAACCTCCATGTGCAGATTTCGTGGCAGGTGCAGCACTTTGTGAACCTCGTGCAGATTTCGTAGCAGGCACAGCACTTTGTGCACCTCCATGTGCAGATTTCGTGGCAGGTGCAGCACTTTGTGAACCTCCATGTGCAGATTGCGTGGCAGGTGCAGCACTTTGGTTCCATGCGCAGATTTCGTGGCAGGTGCAGCACTTTGTGAACCTCCATGTGCAGATTTCGTGGCAGGCACAGCACTTTGTGCACCTCCATGTGCAGATGTCGTGGCAGGCGCAATACAAAATGCGTTGTGGAGAGATAGCGAACGCACGAAATGCTGTATTTTTCAATGGAACCGGTGGCTCCGAAGCTGGCAAGTCAAGGTCTGCGGAATGACGGGTGCGAGACGGTCTCGGATCATTCTCGGATCATGCTCGGAATCGTCCGTCCATTGGGATTAGAGTTTTCACTTGTTTCTTGAAGTGCAGATTTCGTGGCAGGCGCAGCACTTTGTGTACCTCCATGTGCAGATTTCCTGGCAGGCACAGCGCTTTGTGAAGCAGATTTCGTGGCAGGTGCAGCACTTTGTGTACCTCCATGTGCAGATTTCCTGGCAGGCACAGC